CTAATATAGCTATTATATTATTTATATATTTAATAAATATTTTAGCTATAAATATTTTTATTTAAAATTCTATATTAATATTAATTATAATTTCTAAAAATCTAAAACTTAATTTTATTAATAATATAGAAATAAATAATATATTTACTATTATAATAAATTTTAAGCTATTTATATTTAAAGAAAAATATAATTTTTAAAAAAAATTAATATTAAAAAAAGCTTTAAGTATAGTATTAATATTATATATAATTAAAATACTTATTACTATATTAAATTTTATAGTTTAGTTTATTTTATTATTATATTTTAATAATATTGAAATTCATTTTATATTATTTAAAGAAAATTTTAAAAAACTAAATTTAAAAACTTATTTAAAATAACATTATAATTTATAATTTATAATATTATATTATAAATATAAAGTATTATTAAAAGTTATAAGTTTTTAAAAAATAATAAAAAAAATTTATTAATAATTAATAAAAAATTTATAAGCTAGGTTAAGCTTAAATCTATTAGCTTAGAAAAGTTATTAATTTTATTTTTAATAAATTTTATAAATAAAATTATCTAGAATAAATAAAAATTTATATTTTATTCTTATTTCTATACTTTGTTATATAGAAAAATATATTAAATAGCTATAAAGATTAAATAGTAATTAATATTAAAATTTTAAATTAGATTATAGTTTTTAATATTTATTTTATATTTATATAATTAGATATTCTTATAATAGTTTTTAAATATAAATATATCTTAATAATAAATTATATTAATTTCTTTTACTAGTTTTTTATTAATTTTAATTATTAATTTATAATTTATAATTTTATTTTATTATATATAAAAAACTTTTAAATATACTTTAATAAAATATAGAAATTTATTAATTTATATTTAATATATAATTAACTATATATTATATACTTATTATATATATATTAAAGTTTATATAAATAATATTATAATATTTTTTAATTCCCTAGAGGAATATAAAAATTATCTTTAAAATATCTTTAAAGAATTATTAAATTTTAATATTTTATTATTAATTAAAAAGTTATTTTTTAAATATTTATTTATATAATTATTAAATTAATATATAAATATTTTTAGCTTTACTTTTAATAAAAATAAGCTAGCTATATTTATAAAAATTATATTTTTAAAAACTTTTTACTATTTAAATTATTATTTAAAACTAATTAAATATTTATATTAATATATTTTATTTTATATTAATATTATAATATCTTTTTAAAAACAGAAAATAAAACTTTATTAACCTTATATAAAAGATATATATAAGGTAATATTAAGAAAAAAGACATAATAAGAACTTAAATACTTAAATTAATAAAATTAAAGTTTAACTTATTTAAAATTCTATAAAAGCTATTTATATATTTAGAAATCTTTATATATTTTAATCTTTATAAAATTTTATTTATTAATATTAATATATTATTAAAAGTTAATTTTAATATTAATATTTATTATATTAAAAACTTTAATCTTTATAAAAAAATAATTATTATTAAATAAAAATTATTAAAACTTATTATATTTTTTTTAAATTATTAACTTAAGTTAAAATAAAATATTAGCTAATAGAATTAAAAGTTATATATTTAATATAAATAATTAAAAAGTTATAATATTTTATTAAAATATAATTTTTTTTATTATTATTTTTATAAATTATTATATAATAGTAAATATAGTAAAATAAAGTTTTTTAAATATAATTTTTATTATAAAATTAAATCTATATAATATTTAGTTATTAAAGTATTTTATATACTTTTATTTTAATATTTTAATATAAAATAAGAAAAATAAATATTATATTTAATATATTATTAAGATTATTTATTATTAATAATATATATAATTATTTAGAAACTAAATCTAAGTAAATTATTAAAATATCTTTAAAATTTAAAACTTAAATTAAAGCTAATTATTAAGATAATATAAAATATATTTATATTTTAAATCTTTTAAAAATAAATAATATTAAAAATTAAAATATAATATATTTTTTATATAAACTTTTAAATAACTTTATTTATAATAATAATAAAATTAGAAAACTTTATTTTATTTTACTTTTAAGTCTAGAATAAAAAATCTTTAAAGTAGTATATAATAATTAAAAGTATTTAAGGTTTAATAATATATATAAAATTTTTATAAAATTTTTTTATTTCTTTAATATAGCTAAGTATTTAAAAAAAATTATTTTATTATATTTTATATTTAAATAATAAAATATTATATTATATTCTTTTTAAAGCTTTATAACCTATTTTTTTACCTTTTTATTTTTTTAATACTTTAACTATTAATTTTATTTTTATTTTATTTATATTAAAATTAAATAATTTTAATTATATAATATTAATTATAAATAAATTTTTAAAAATAATTATAATAATAGTTAAGAAAATTATATTAATAAGTAAGTAATAGACTATTATATTTATTAAAAGGTTATACTTTATTTTATAAAGTATTTTATTTATAATTATTTTAAATTAAAATAAAAAATTTATTATAAGTTTTTAAAAAGTTATTATATTTTAATTAAAAATTAAACTTATATTTATTACTACTTAGTTCTCTTAGACTAATAATTAATTAAAATAATTTAATTAAATAATAGAAATTACTTTTTAATATATAATTATTTTTCAAAAAATATTAAATTATAGTTTTTTATTTTTAGCTAGCTTTCTATTTTAGTTTATAACTTTACTTTTTAAATAATAAAAATTATATTAATTTAAGTCTTATTTAATTATTATATTTATAAAGTATTAGATTTAATATAAGTTTTACTTTTATTTTAAATAATTAAAATTAAAGAATTTATTAGGGGCTAGCGCTATAGTAGTACTAAGAGGGCTAAGGAGCTAAGGCTTTTATAGCTTAGTAGGTTACTCCCCTTATACTTTATTATTAAGCCTACCTTAGTAAGTCTAGAGCCTTAAGGGTTAGTAAGACCTACTAGCAAATTTAGTTATAAGGAGTCTTTACCCTTAGAGAAGAATCTTTAGTAATTAGTTCTTTAAATAATTTAAATATTACTTTATATTTCTTAGAACACTAGTACTCTACTAGCTATAGGATTATAGAATTAAATTCTATAGTTCTAGTTTTTTTATTATTTATTAAAGAAGAATTTTTTTTATTATTATATATATATAAATATATAAAATATTATTATTCTTATTATAATAATAATAAAAAAATAATATAATAATTATTATATTTAAAAAATTTTTAAAGTAAATAACTAAGTATTATTATATTTTTATTATAGTTATAAATTATTTAGTTTAAAGAATTAAAATATAAAAATTAAATAATAGTTTACTAATTTTTATAAAATAGTTAAGAAAATTAATTTAGTTTATTATTATTTATAATTCTTATTTTCTTTAAGTTAAATTTATTAAATAATCTTTATTATATATTTAAAGCTTACTTTACTTTTAATATTTAATTTATATTATTAGAATTCTATAATACTTATTTTAATAATAGAAAAAAATCTTATATATTAGCTATTAACTATTTTATAAAAATATATATAATATTATTATAATAATAAGTTTTTTAATTTAATATTTTATAGAATTTAAAAAATTAAAAATTAATTATAATTAATAGTTTTATTCAAAAAATATATTAAAATTATTAAAATTATAACTTAATTTAATTTATAATAAAGATAAAATTATTAAAATATAAGAAAATTTAATATAAAAATTTTTTTTTTATTTTTATTTTAGCTTTTAAAAAAATTTATTTATTTTTTTAAAATTATATTAAATTATATTAAATTATATTAAATTATATTAAATTATATTAAATTATATTAAATTATATTAAATTATATTAAATTATATTAAATAAATTTTAAAAATTTTTAAATTTTTTTAAAATATAACTTTTCTTTTTTTTAATTTTTATTTATAATTATACTTTTTTTTCCCTTTTTTTATAAAAGTAATATAATTATAAATTATATTATAATATAATTTAAATATATTATATATAAAAATAAAATAAAAATCTTAATATTATAATTTAAAAATAATTTAAAATATAGATTTAAACTTTAATTTAAGCTATACCTCTTTAGTAAATAGAGTTTTTATATATATAATACTTAATATTAACTTTTTTTTACTTTTAAATAAAGTAAACCTCTATAAGTATAAGTATTTTTTAAAAGTAATAAATTATTAAAGTATTTTTATATATATATATATATATTAGTTAATTACCTTTTAGCTCGCCTATTAGCTAGGCTAAGGGCTAGCTCTATTAGGCTAGCGTTTTCTTAGTACGTTATACTTTAGGGTATATATCTTCTAGATTAATAAATTATTATTATATATTATAGATAAATAATAATACTTAGTTTAATAAGTAATTATATAGATTAACTCTTAATAAAAGAAGCTTTAATAATTAAGAGATTTTTAAATAAGCTATTAATAATAGTAAAGATTCACTAGTCTAGAAAAGTTACTAAAAACAAAAAGACTCCATTGCTAATTAGTGGGCCAACTTATTCTACCTACCTGGTTTCAAGTGTTATCAGTGCTCTAGCGTAGCCGCGTCTCGTTTCATATCTCGAACCACTTTGAGAACGTCCCAAGAGTCTTGAACAACGTTACTGATAGCATCTTTGGCTGCACAAGCACTTGCACAGAAGCAAGTTACTATTGCGAGACCTCAACTCACGCCCCTTCGCTGTACGCTACCATCTTTCCCTGATCCCCAAGCGTTTGGCCGTAGTTCAACATTCTGATGTTGCACTTCGCCCTGCTTGCCCCTGTTTTTCGTCCGCTCGATCGTTAGCCCCTGTACCTCACGCATCATCGCCCAAAGGCCGCATACCAGAAAGCGAGTTGGCGAAGAAGCGGGTGCTGTAGGCACACGCTGAGAGCTCCGATACGGGGGCGCGCCCAAAGATGGCGGTAGCGCCTGGGACGCAGTCGCTGAAAGTACGTCGCTGGTTTTCGCAACATGGAGTTAGGGCTCATATTCTCGTCAGTGCGTGGTGACGGGTGACGGAGCTGTCGGAAAGGTTCGTATGTTGCTGGAACCTGCAAGAAAATGACCTTAACGGTGCCCAGACTTGTCTTCTCATATCTTACACAACCAACGCCTTCCCCGGAGAATATATACCTACGGTGTAAGAACTCCAACCAAGTGTCGTGACTCACGTTCGTTGATACGGGCTACAAGATTTGACAATTATTCCGCGAGCGTCATGGTAGACGGGAAACCGATAAGTCTAGGTCGGTGGTGGTGTCACGAGAGAACAAAACCACAATGATTGATTTGTCTAGGTCTATGGGATACAGCAGGACAGGAAGATTACGATCGACTTCGCCCGCTTTCATACCCGCAAACAGATGTCTTCTTGATTTGTTTTTCAATAGTTAGTCCTCCGTCGTTCGACAACGTGAGGTCGAAATGGTTTCCGGAAATCGAGCACCACGCACCCAATGTACCTATCATCTTAGTTGGAACAAAATTGGATTTAAGAGATGATGCTAAGACCATCAATGGCTTGCGGTCAAAACGAATGGAACCGGTACCGTATGAGCAAGCCCTCAACGCAGCCAAGGAGATCAGGGCACACAAGTATCTGGAATGCTCCGCGTTGACACAACGCAATTTGAAAAGCGTCTTTGATGAAGCTATCAGGTTAGATTGGCTCTACCATTCATTTCGCCTTAGTCATTCTAATTATTGCAGAGCTGTCTTGAATCCTCGCCCTTTAGGCAAAACCAAGGAAAAGAAGAGCAAATGCGCTATAATATGACGGAGCTTATACGGTTGATACAGTGGAATTTAAGCCCCTCCCGTGGACATGATTCTTTGAATTGTGATGGTGCAAGCTGGCCTTCACATTTGGCAATCTTGCAAGCAGACTGCCAAAGTCGGTCACATGACCCTTCTCAGCAAAAGCCAATTGGAAGGTATATTAAGGACAACCTGCATAGATATGGGCTATTAGGAATGATACGCAATTGGGCGTAAAGCTTGACAGGAATCTATGTCTTGAACTCTTTAAGGGGCTCTATGGGCCTAGAACCTGCACGCGTAATAGAGTGATGCACGCTTGCAGATAGGAACAGAATGGAACTTTGAGCACCACTCTTCGGCCAGAAGCATCCTTCCTGTATGAAGAATCGAGTCCTATGACGTGGGAACCCGACCTGCTCGGCTTGGGTGTATTTGTGAATTATTTGCGACACGCCTATGCTGTTCGTCCATTTGTCCTGATGGGACATTCTGACTCTCGTTGGTGTCTGCGGCCTGTCTCTCGCGTTCGAGCTGGAGCTTCTCATTCTTCGTTTTCAACTTCAGCTTTCGGTCTTTGCTTTTCGACCCGCCTCCTCCAACACTAAAGCTTCTCGTTAGCAAAGAGTGCATGATGTCCAAGTGTGGGTCCGCACGTGAGCTCTACATTTAACTTGCGTTCCGCACTCTCGCCATCGTTGAAAATCGAGTGGTGATATAGCCGCAGGCAGGTCTTCATACGGTCGTAGCGTTCGAACTCTAGAAAAGCGAATCCCTTGGATTTGCCAGTCATTTTGTCAACACGATGGCGAACTTGATCAGGTCGTACTTTAGCAAAGTGGTCGCGAATTGAAGCGTCGGTAGCTATATATGGGAGGTTACCTATCGCTTCTCAGTCTTGTGCCGCGCCACAATACCTATGGTGGATAGTCCAGACCCACGAAGACTATAAATCTTTGCCTTTTGATTTTGGCAGGTTGTGAATACTCGAAACTTGAATGGTGGATGGGCTCTGCTGGCGCTGTTGGCTTTTCAGACCCAACTCTATGTGGATCAACATGAGCCTCCATGGCTCCAAATCTTCGCCTTCTGGCTTCTTTTCGCGCACGATCGGCCCCCATGATCAGACTCAATTCATACCACGACATCCATGTCTGCCCATTCGTTTTTTAAGCGCTGGGTCACGAGTTGAACAATGCGTGAGAAGAGCTTTATATGAGAAGTCGGAAATACCAATGTGGGCCAAAGTCTCCACGTAAATATTTTCACGTAATTTCTATCTTGGCGGATTTCTCAGCTTTAGGGACACGCCATAGGGAGGGCTTTTCGAAGCTATCATCCTTCATGCGCAGCTATCAGAATGTCCCGCAGAAAATCGTTAAATCCGTGTTACGATCCTTCGATCTAGGCCTTGGAAAAAGTAGCTAGCGTATTTAGTGATTAACTTACCTTTAAAGTAAAATACTATTAAGCTAATCTTTGCTTTAATAATAATAATTAAAGATTAATTATATATATAATTATTTAATATATTAAGTTAAATATAATAATTTATAAATTTTATTAAATATAAATTATTTTAATTTATATAAATTAAATATAATAAGTTATATTCTTAAATTAGTTAATAGATTTATTAAATTTTAATAATTATATTTAAAAATAATATAAATTATTATAATAATTATATTATATATTAATAAAAGTAAATAAACTATAATATTTTTATTTATAAAAACTTATTAAAAGAATTTTTATTTAATATTAATTTATCTTATAAATAAAAAGCTTAAATAAAATATATAAATATATTTAATTTAAAGATTTTTAATTAAAAATAATAAATAAAGTATATTATAATATAATATTATTAAATTGTATTAATTAATTAAAATAACTAAAAAAAATAAAATAAAAATTATATTTAAATAATAAACTTTTATACTTAAAAATACTTTACTATTCCTTAATAAGTAGTTAAGTTCTACTAGAAATATACTAGAGTTATTCTAGATTTAAAGACTATTAATAGCTTAAAATATATATAATCCCTCTTTTATTTAAAAGTAATATATTATTATAATCTTATATAATAAGTATAACTAGGTAACTATTATAGAATAGAAACTATAGTTATATTAAGTTATAAAAAAAAATAACTAAAAAAAGAAAAAAATAGCTAAAGTATTTAAGTATACTATTATAATCTTATATAATAGGCGTGACTAGATAACTACTATAGGATAGAGACTATAGCTATACTAGGTTATAAAAAAATAACTAAAAAAAAGAAAAGATAGCTAAAGTATTTAAGTATACTTAAGTGTTAAAAATATTAAATAACCTTTAAATTAAATAAGTTTAAAATAATTAAAGGTTAAATACTATTAAGTAGGTTTAATAAAGTTATATATATAAAACCCTTTATTCCTCTTTTTAAATAAATTTCCTTATATTTAATACAAGTTTTATTTTTTATTATAAAATTTAAAATAATTATAACTTAATTTTATTTTACTATTTTACTTTTATTTATTTTTTAATTATTATTATATTCTAAAAGAACTAACTTACTAGTTTATAATAAAATTAATTAATATTATTTATTAGTTTAAATACTAAGGTATAATATAATAAATATTTTTAAGATAAATATAATTAAATATATTATAAATAAATAATACTTTTAATAAAAGTATATAATATATTAATTAATTGCTATTAAAAAGGATAAAACTAAACTTTTAAAACTTAAGGTAGCTTCTTTTATAAAGAAAAAAATAAGTTTAATAACTAGTTATTCTAGTTAAATTTCTACTTTAAATTAATATTTAATATTAAAAGTAAAATTAAAATAGCTTTTATAGTAATATATATAAAAGGTAAAATATTATTATAAATTAATTTACACTTTAAAAAATATATAAATAAAATTATTAATATAAAAACCTATAAATAGATTAAAAACTATTCTAAATTTAAAAAATAAATCTAATAAATATTTAAATTTATTAATAAAAAACAATATATTAAATTAATAATATAATAACTATAATAAATTAAAAAAACAGCTAATCATATAACTATTTTCTAGTATTATATAATAATAATAAAATAGAATAATAAAGCTTAAATATCTATATTTAAATAAAAATTAAAAAATAAAAATTAAAAAATAATATTTAAAATAAGCTTATATACTATAATAAAGAAATTGAAAATATTAATAATTTTATAAAAATAATAATTAAAATTAATAATAAGCTATATTAATAATATATAAAATAAAATAAATAATAAAGATAGTATATAAAATAAAATACTATAGAATATAATAATAATATAATAAAATACTAAAAACGCTATAACTATAAAGTAAAATAGTTAAGAAATACTAATTTATAAAATAACCTTATAAAGTTAAATATATTAATATTATAATATAATAATAAAAATAGTTATAAAAAAGCTAATTAAAAGAAGTATTATAAATATAATAAAATAAGATATATTATATATAACTATTAGTTAAAGAACTAAATATAAAAATAATTAAATATTTTATAAAAACTTTTATTACTATATTTATTATTAATTAATAATAAAAAAGCTAAAAGCTTAGAAAGTAATATAAACTTAAATATATTATTTTTTATAATAATAAATAATAATACTTAAGAATAAATATTAATTAAATATAAAAAAGAAAAATAAATTAATATATTAGATAATATTTTATAAAATATAAAAAAATATTTAAATTATTTAATATAAATTTTAATAATATAATAAAATAACTTAAATAAAAATAATAAATATATAAATAATATATTTATAAATAAAAATATTTTAAAAATAAGTTATAAAATCTTTTTAATAAATTAAAATAATATAAAAATATAAAATTAAAAAATAATAATAAATAACTTTTTAAAAAGATATTATACTTTTATATTAATTTTTAGCTTAAATACTAAAAAAGTAATATTATATATATATTAAAAAATAAAATTTTTAAAATAATAATATAATAAATTATTTATTAAGAACTTTATAAAAAAACTATATAAACTAATTATATAATTAATTAATATATATTTTATTTAATTAATAAATATAAAAATAAGTTTTTTCTAAAATATAGAAATAAGTAATATAAATTATATTATTAATCTTTAATAAAAAAAACTAAAAAAATAGAATATATTTATTATATATTTTATAAAAAAAAACTAGCTTCTAATATAATAATAGAACTTTATATAATAATATTATAAAAATATATTATATAAAATATATTAAAATAAAAAACTATAATAAGGAATATTACTTAAAAGAATTATTAATAATTTTAATAAAATATAAAATACTATAGGATATAACCTATATATTATAATAACTATATAGCTTAATAATATATTAATAATTATATTTATAAATATAGAAATAAAAAAAACTATATTTTAAAATAAAAAGTATAAAAAATATAAATTAAAATATTAATAATAAAAGAACTAGAAAAAATTATAATAGCTTTAAAGAATATAAGAGGAACTAACTTAATTACAAAAGAAATTATATAAATAATAATAGCTATTTAATAGTATAATAAAAAGATAATATTAAATATACTTAAAATAGCTATTTATAATATTATACTAAGGATATTTTAGTTAGAGAAATAGAATCTAGTTATTAACTAGCTATCTAGAGAACTAAAGTTTAAAAATAGACTTATTATTAAAGTCTAAAAACTTAAATAGTTTATAATTATAAGTTTAAATAAAAGAGTTTAATAGAATATTAAAAGTACTTATATATCTTAAATCTTAAAAAATAAATAACTAAATAGTACCTATACTAACTTTAATAAATATAGAAAAAAAGTTAATTAATTATAAAGCTAAAAGGAAAAATATTAATAAAACTTTTATATTATTAAAATATAGAAAATAAAAATACTTTTTTAAAAAAATTTAAAAAAGAATTATTATTATTATATTAACTTTAAAATTATTA